ACATCCCTGCAAGCTTCACTACACCAGACTCATTCCGACCTAGCCAGTCCCAATCAGACACCATGACGCCCTTGCTGACTGGCAGGCTGTGTCAGAGCTTCGTTCCTGGAAATCCACACTGCGCTGACAGCACATCAGTGCGAAAGACTAATCTCAAGATTTGTCATCCTGTTCACAGCATCGCAGCAGCAATACGCTGCCACATGCTGTATTGCATTGATCTGGAAGCACCACAAGCACGAGTCTTAAGCCGCAAGCAAGTCAAGCACCGCGTCACATCAGCCGAAGCAATCACATCATGCTGCTCGCAAGCAGCCGTCAAGAAGACTAATCGAAATCTGAACTTGCAACATGAGACGGCTGCCTGCACAATCAATCGCCCACACACACACACACAAACACGCAGCAAAGGCTCAAAAAACCTGCGCAGTGCCACAGCTTGCTGCCCACGATTCAGAGTCCGCAGCACAAACTTTCTGGCCTTTCGCTCATTCTCATCCACAAGCAAACAACATCCCTGCAAGCTTCACTACACCAGACTCATTCCGACCTAGCCAGTCCCAATCAGACACCCTGACGCCCTTGCTGACTGGCAGGCTGTGTCAGAGCTTCGTTCCTGGAAATCCACACTGCGCTGACAGCACATCAGTGCGAAAGACTAATCTCAAGATTTGTCATCCTGTTCACAGCATCGCAGCAGCAATACGCTGCCACATACTGTATTGCATTGATCCAGAAGCACCACAAGCACGAGTCTCAAGCCGCAAGCAAGCCAAACACCGCGTCACATCAGCCGAAGCAATCACATCATGCTGCTCGCAAGCAGCCGTCAAGAAGACTAATCGAAATCTGAACTTGCATCATGAGACGGCTGCCTGCACAATCAATCGCCCACACAGACACAAACACGCAGCAAAGGCTCAAAAACCTGCGCAGTGCCACAGCTTGCTGCCCACGATTCAGAGTCCGCAGCACAAACTTTCTGGCCTTTCGCTCATTCTCATCCACAAGCAAACAACATCCCTGCAAGCTTCACTACACCAGACTCATTCCGACCTAGCCAGTCCCAATCAGACACCCTGACGCCGTTACTGACTGGCAGGCTGTGTCAGAGCTTCGTTCCTGGAAATCCACACTGCGCTGACAGCACATCAGTGCGAAAGACTAATCTCAAGATTTGTCATCCTGTTCACAGCATCGCAGCAGCAATACGCTGCCACATGTTGTATTGCATTGATCTGGAAGCACCGCAAGCACGAGTCTTAAGCCGCAAGCAAGCCACTGACCGCGTCACATCAGCCGAAGCAATCACATCATGCTGCTCGCAAGCAGCCGTCAAGAAGACTAATCGAAACCTGGACTTGCATCATGAGACGGCTGCCTGCACAATCAATCGCCCACACAGACACAAACACGCAGCAAAGGCTCAAAAAACCTGCGCAGTGCCGCAGCTTGCTGCCCAAGATTCAGAGTCCGCAGCACAAACTTTCTGGCCTTTCGCTCATTCTCATCCACAAGCAAACAACATCCCTGCAAGCTTCACTACACCAGACTCATTCCGACCTAGCCAGTCACAATCAGACACCATGACGCCCTTGCTGACTGGCAGGCTGTGTCAGAGCTTCGTTCCTGGAAATCCACACTGCGCTGACAGCACATCAGTGCGAAAGACTAATCTCAAGATTTGTCATCCTGTTCACAGCATCGCAGCAGCAATACGCTGCCACATGTTGTATTGCATTGATCTGGAAGCACCGCAAGCACGAGTCTTAAGCCGCAAGCAAGCCACTGACCGCGTCACATCAGCCGAAGCAATCACATCATGCTGCTCGCAAGCAGCCGTCAAGAAGACTAATCGAAATCTGAACTTGCATCATGAGACGGCTGCCTGCACAATAAATCGCCCACACAGACACAAACACGCAGCAAAGGCTCAAAAAACCTGCGCAGTGCCACAGCTTGCTGCCCAAGATTCAGAGTCCGCAGCACAAACTTTCTGGCCTTTCGCTCATTCTCATCCACAAGCAAAAAGCATCCCTGCAAGCTTAACTACACCAGACTCATTCTGACCTAGCCAGTCACAATCAGACACCATGACGCCCTTGCTGACTGGCAGGCTGTGTCAGAGCTTCGTTCCTGGAAATCCACACTGCGCTGACAGCACATCAGTGCGAAAGACTAATCTCAAGATTTGTCATCCTGTTCACAGCATCGCAGCAGCAATACGCTGCCACATGTTGTATTGCATTGATCCAGAAGCACCACAAGCACGAGTCTTAAGCCGCAAGCAAGCCAAACACCGCGTCACATCAGCCGAAGCAATCACATCATGCTGCTCGCAAGCAGCCGTCAAGAAGACTAATCGAAATCTGAACTTGCATCATGAGACGGCTGCCTGCACAATCAATCGCCCACACAGACACAAACACGCAGCAAAGGCTCAAAAAACCTGCGCAGTGCCACAACTTGCTGCCCAAGATTCAGAGTCCGCAGCACAAAC